TAATAAGATTTATATCTCCTCGCGCTTCGGAAGCTTAACAAAAAAGTGGTAGAGGCAAATCGTTTTAAGCCTTATTGTATTTAATTACATTTTCCATTCCATCTGCTTGGGAAAGCATACCTTACATTAACTTATATTATTTAACTTTACTTTTTTATTTATTCCCACTTGCTTTGTTTTACGTAACAAATACGAGAATTGAATGCAATAACTTAGTCTCAATGGAACTGGTCGAATACGCGAAGAACTCGTGTTGCAAGCGTGTTCAAGCTTTTGCGTGTGATCCACGCTCCCTCGCTTTTGCAAGCAGTCAGTTTTAAGCTGCTCGATCCACAAGTATCCAAAGCACTTGCGAACCCTCGAGGAAACCCCCAAGATAAACATTTCCGGCCACATCATGATTATGTGATAAAGAAACCATAGAAGCGATAAACATGCAAATTTTCACTAAAATAAAATACAAGCTAATGCGTTTCATATGCTACCTGCGACATTCTGCACAGCTTGTTCCGATTAGAGCAGTTTTCAACTGAGTGTCGACAGTAATTCGGAACTGCATTGGTTTTGCTTTACTTCGCCCTGTGATTGGTCCACGAAACCCGCGCCATTTACGCGACCAATCAGATGCAAAACTAAAATCAATCACGACTTGGTCGCACGCGTTTTTCCGCTCTTTGGGCAGTTCGGTTGTTTCTTCTTTGAGCTCTCATTTGGCATTTGAAGGTTTTTTTTCCTTTCCTCTGATCAGCTGTTGTGAATACTTTGGTTATGGTTTTGGCTGAACGACAATCGCTTGAAGTACTTCATACGGAAATTCCGATGCAAAGCAGACCGATTCAAGGTGAGATACCGTAAAATATGTCAAGGGCGGAAAAGTATCCAAAATGCATCTGTTTCCTAAGCTTCCTAGACTCGGTTGTTCAATGAATAAACAAAAAAAATTTCCGCCGAATAAAATAACTGAACGAAAAACAGTATAGATTCTTCTTGGTAACACGTCTTCGAAATGACGAATTAAAGCTGATCAATTAGGTGTCGAATATCTGGGTGGAATTTTTCTTTGAATTCTTCTTTTCAGTTCATTCTAAATTGTCCAGAAAACTCGTGTCACCCTCTCTCGTCCTAATTAAATGCAAGATGAGAAAAACCGTCTCTGTCAATCATGTTTTCCCGCGCTTGGTGCACGTGCAGTTTGTTTGTTTTCAAATTGTTACCATTGCCTCCCTTCAATCTTTGCGTTGCTCTGAATGGCTGTTGAGTTAGAGTTACGGCACTCCAACGAAATTCACTCTGTCCTTTGAAAAGAGTTACGGCAACCCACTAAACAACCAGGGCCCAATTGTTCGAAGGCCGAGTAACGCTAACCCACGATTAAATTTGAATTCATTTTTTACTCCCCTATTCAAAAGCCTTATTGGGAGTTTTCTCTATTCTTTTTAAACACGAAGGTGCGCTATATAAGGAAGTCTTCCCTGGGAAGACCTAGGCTCATTTGTCACTCACCGTTGACGTGTGCGGGTCAAATTTAAAAGCTGGTATACGAGCAAAAGGAGCTAATGAGGTATCTATTGCTTACTTCCACCAGCATGGTAGCAATGAGGTAACGTGCGAACCACCTCGATCTCAAATATACCGCCACAAATAAAGACAGTTTCCATTGGAGAAAGGAAATACAAATCTAAAAAATTCTTGTATTGTGATGAAGACATAAAACAATTTTGAGGAATGCGCCCGGTGTTCACTGCTTTGGAGTAGCTGTAGCTCAAGCTGACTTGACTCTTAGAGTTCTACATCACACGACGGTTGATTGACAAATGGTCCAGTGGGACCTAAGGCTCCTTTTATAGCGCGCCTTCGTGTCATCAAATTGCGGACGTTTCTTTTAAAGCTTTCAGATCTGCATTCAAATCTCGCACTAATCCTGGGCTATCTTAAACCCAGCTTTGAACAAGCCGACCCTGAATAGGATACCAGAAATTGAGAGCTTGAGTTAAAATGGCGCAATACATCAATACATACACGCTGTCTAGGCTCGAAAACTAATGACTTTTGGACAAAAAGTGACAATGGTAAAAATGCAGAGGCCCAATCAATCCAACTTAAAGGTTTAACCATCCAATTCGCTGTAGAGTTTTTTCAACTCAAAGTAAAGAAACCTCCACTTATCGAGCAAATTGTCGTCACAAGCTACAGGCTCTCTAAATTTCAACTTTATCAGTTGACGTGTCGAAAGTAGGAAAGCAACTCGCTGATCTCTCTAAGCGACTCATTCGTGGATTACTGGCCGTATTCGTAAGTCCATGAGCTTTTGAACTTCCTAAATCAATCGTTAATGAGACCCTAGTCTCGTCAAAATAAGCCCTACTAGTTCTCCTAGGACGCGGCTTCGTTCTTCCTTTCACTCCTTCAACGATGTATTGTCCATCTATATCACTGTAACGCGTGGTAATCCGTTTAGGGTCCACCCCGTGAGGAATAGGAATAGCTCTCGAGAATTTCGCACCCTCTGCACCCTTGCCGTTTCTCTGAGACCGCTTTCCTTGGAGTAACACGTGATCTCCTTCGACTTTCCACGTGATGTTCTCTGGGCGATAGATCCCTATGTCAAAACACGCAAGACGGACAATCTCTTCAGGTGCGTCAGTGGTTTCTTCCCCCATGGAAAAGAAGTCCGAAGAAAAGCCAGGCGAGTTGAGAAGATCAGATAAAACTTTTTTGCTGTCATCGGAAAGGCTGTGATGAAAACAAATAAGTCAGTAACTTTGTTGAGAAAGACCCACAATTTTTTCATGACTTCCACAATCTTGAATCAACTGGGAAGTTACAATAGTGTCGGTTATTGCTTTACCTTTTTCTGCGATTGGTCTAACAAATTAACTTACGACAGACTCTACGTTAGAGTCACTACTGATTGACAGCCTACCGCAGGCAATTCAGCTGTCAAACGTCAGGAAGGCGCAAGAGCCAAGTTTGAATTTTAATAGATGGAAAATGGCCGATTCCTGTGCAACATTTTAAAGGGAACATAAAGAACAACCGCCGTCAGGCAAAACTTTCGAAAAAAAATTGAAACGTTCATAGAATCAGTAAAAGGGAAAAAAAGTAGGGAAAGCGAAATTTCGAGTCTTTTCCAACACAAAGCTCAGTTAATCTCTAGTATTCTGCTGATTTACAATTTCTTTTTTTTAAGCTCAATCGAAAAAAAAAAGAAAAAAAAAATTAACGCTTCAACCGTGATTTACCAGCTCGTGTAGTTGTCTCTGTTAGACTAATTGATTCTGACAGCCCAAGAGCACATCACCTAAAGTTTGCACATGCACAGACACCTAGGCATACAACGTTTGCACATCCGCAGACATTTAACTGCTGTGTTACCACAGGCAAAATAGCAGATTCGTTCCACTCTCTCAACTAATCAGATGCCAAACAATAACCAGTTGTGATAATATTATTCGCCGGATAAGAAAAATATATGAATTTCATACATTCACCGTACCAAAACAAAACAAAAAAAACAAAAAAACAAAACACAAAAAAACAAAACACAAAAAAACAAAGAAAATTCAAACCGCTACTCAGCTAATTAAAAAAAAAAAAAATTAACTGTCTGAGAACCTCGAGGAGAAATCGTCGCTGAAATAAAAAAAATGCATATAAATTTGAAGACGAACTCCGCTGCGTTTTGTTTGCTATTTACGTTCACCTCAGAGTCTAAAGAAATGTAACGCGTATCTATATAGGGGAATCCTTGTTTACAATACTTGCCTCATTAGCATAAGCAATTCAGTTTCTGATGGAGCTAAAAATAATTCAGTTCTGAATATCGAAAGCTCAAAACACGATTAACTCGGCCAATGAACACGAGCCTGATGCATTGAATACTTTTTTTGCAACACGGGTTTAAAAACTCAAAATTTTATTATGAGAATGTATGAGCTCATTAGGGCTTTTGCCACCCAGAAATTTTGCAGTTTTTGATGGTTTATTTCTCCTTGAATATTACACCCAAAGAGCTAAAAATTTCACCATGCACTAAGGTTTTCTAGCTCTTTGGCTGCCTGAAGTCAATTTGTATCTAACATGCTTCCTTCTTTACGCAGAGCCGTATGCAAAAGAGCAAAGATGTAAACAATGACGTCAGCTTGAATCCGCCTATACATAGCATGTAAGACAGTGCTTCCTTGAGAAGGATCAGAGACGCGCTGGCGGCAAAAGCGAAACCTTTGCCACTCTTGTCAATAGCAGTCATTGAAGAAATAATGAAAAAAACAAAAACAAAAACAAAAAAGCAGCCAAGCGGTATGATTAGGTAGCCATCTAAAAATACCATTCATAGCTGATACCATTAATCGGTCAGTAAAAACGATGGTTATTTCATCTAAGGCAGAATTACTCTGATGATATCAACCTTCCATGAAGTTATCAACTTGAGATAAGGAGAAGGTCAAAACTAGTTGAAGTAGAAAAAAGCGAAGAATCTAGAAGTCGCATAAGGTTTTGAATACCTTTGTCTTTATCTAATGATCACAACTATATAATTAACAGGTCAGACCTATTCAACACTCTTTTCACCGCAAAACAGATCCTGACTTACCAAAAGGTCTTGTTTGACGCAGAATTTGAAGCGTTCTATTATTAAAACACCTTGAAAGAGATTTGAAAAGAATCGACCAATCTTTAAGGATGACGTTCTGACGAGAACATAAAAAGGAGAAGGTCAGATTCCAAGCATATTCTTGGCGCCAATTTTTTTTGCGAATTATGTCAATGTCAAGCAAACGTGGTTGTGTAACAATGATAGCTCAGACATTTTTATCGAGGAACTTCTCGCCGTATTTACCGCTGTTCGCTTAAAGAAATGTAAAATTTCCCAGAGGATAAACCAATGAGTGATGAAAAAAAAAAAAGAAAAAAAAAACAAGATGTCAAAGTAAACATGCCAATCTTTGGTTAGGTAACCGCAGCCCGTGCCAGCTCTCTCATAACGGTAGTTATCGAAGAATAGAAAAGAAATTGAAAAACCAAAACAAAAGAGTAAACCCGACGAGCCATTAAGCAATACACATTGTGTCAAACAGCAGGACGTTACCCAAAATATCAGGTGGACTGACACTCTATTCAAAAACTTCAATGCGTGATCTCTCAACAAATGTCCATCGCGCATGTCAAATGCAAAGGAAACTTCAAGAAAGTCAAACGAGACAGATAACCAATAGTTTCTACAAGAACGCGATAACAAGAGAGACACATGCCCCCTATAACGACCCCTCAATTAATTGAACTTTAAAACACGTTGACTGGTTCAGGTATCAAAGCACAAGTGATGGTAACTTCTCGTATCGTTCCACGATAATGTTTCTAATTGGAAACAGATGCCATCTATTGCTACCGGCGCTAGATCCGAACATTTCGAAATTCGAACAAAACGTGGCCAAATCATTACATACTAGGATTCGTGAGAAAATGAAGATAAATCCTTGTTAGGAGGAATTAGCTTACTGTACAAGGATAAAGGAGTCTGTTATTTGAACTTACGGTTTCGTGATGGACTTGCAATTTTTTTAAAGTTATAGGTGTATCATATGAAGCTAAAATTAAAACTTCAAGATAATAGTTAACTAGGCATCCTTGTTACACAGACGATACTAGATAAAACTATTTCTTGAAGATACCACACTAATTTGCCGGTTTTCTGGCAGTAAAACAAGCTTTGATCTTTCAAGGTTTCAACAATCACTTCGTTCGATTAAATGTATTTTTGTTTTTAGTAAAATTACGTAAAAGCAAAATAATATAGTAACGGGGGTAATAGCTATTACCGAATACTAGAAAAATTGAGTTGCCACCGGTAATGTAAATTAAAACACACAATAACGATTTAACGTAGCAATTGCTTGTACGAAGGCTATCTGCTACGTGTACCAAGGTAGACTATGTTTTTATGTAAGCATTTGTTTACCAACCACATTGCACTGCAATTTTCTCATGAAAACGCGACGTATTTTCAAAATTTGGACAGCGATTGAAAGCAAGTTAAGTCCATAAAATAGTTTGTTATAGCTAAATCGTAGCTTCAATCGTAAACTAACTGAAACGAAATGGAAGAATAACGAACGCAAACCTTTCACTGAGCTCCTTAAAGTGATCCTTGGTGTTAGAAGCCATGGCTTTCTTTCCAGGTTAAGAGGCTGTTGTGACAAGACGGTTTTTAAATTCTCTGAGTACAGTACTTCCGTCCTTGGTTCGATCTCCAGAAAATCAACGTTAGAGCGGCGATCGCAGATGAAGGAAACTGAAAAATTCACATTGCACAAAAATGAAACGGTAGCCCATTTGCACTGTCATGCACACGACAAAACCACAAAACCATTCTTGTTGCACATTTGGTTTGGATGTGCATCGCTAGGTTTTCACACGGCTGAGTGAAACGAAATTGTTCTTTGCTTTCAAAAGGACACAATATCGTCGTGAAATACTGTACCTGCGAAATGCCTGCAAATCAGTGGTTTCCTCACATATATAACTAGTCCGAAATTACCGATGAAATTTCGTTTGTACGAAAGAAACTAAATTATCCCTCCGAAGGTTTTCGTGGCGGAAATAAAGGCGAAGGTTCAATTTGAGATGAAATTCATGATGTTTATCATGACTCGTTTCGGCCCAGTTCCAAAGGCGTTCTAGAACGTTCCACGCCAAAACAACGACCCGCGAACGAAGGTTCAATGAATATGTTATCTCGCATTCGACCTGTCTCTTCAAAGCTGTTTGCATAAGAAATCAAACAAGTCTTATGTTTCAGCAAACAGCTCAAAATGCAAAAGCGAATGTTCTGGAAGCGAGAAATAAAGACAAACAAGTGCTTGAGGCAGGAAGTCTTTGCCTGCACGAGACATGAAAATTTGATTAGAAAGCTTGACAAAAAGGTGTTGAGGAAAACTGAAAAGATTCGAGTCCGACACCCTGGACTAACAAAGACGAAAAGCAAATTGAAGGTAAATTTTCTTTCCTTGTCATATTTTGTTCGCAAAATCATAAACGGGCTGAATATTGGGTTGACGGCCGGCTTTTGAAATAGCCGTAAGGCTATGGGGCAATTATTCAGGATTATTTGGAAGATTAATTTTCATATCTGGAAAATGAAAAATGAGATAATTGGATAATATTTGAATATAAAATAGGACCTTTGCTTTGGCAGCCTTTCCACCCTGTTTTAAATTAACAAAGAGGGACGCTTCAGTCTGATTTCCACGATGCTTGGTTCTTGTTCCGAGGAAAAGTAACGTTCTTAAACACGGTTGGATAAGTTATGCACGATTTTCTTTTACTGATATTCGCTTCTCATCTGACGAAACAGAAAGTCTTTTTCTTGCGCCGAAAAGTTGGGAATACATGACTCGAAAATTTTGCATTTTGTAGATTCAATAACTATTTCATATCAACGGTGATAAGCTGTCCTTCAAAATTAAAAAAAAAAAAAAAAAAATGAGACATCTATTCCTGATGCAGTTTGAGAAAAAGGAGTACGATTTTTTTGGATCGCATATCTATTAAATTACTAAGATAACCGTAAAGGGTTTATGTAAGTGTAACCGAGATCGCGAGCCATTCTATCGTCAAAGGGGCTTGAAAAATCGATCGATCATCACCACTGGAATTTAACTCGATTACGCTTGAGGATTATGGATCATTAAAAGATTTAAGGAGAGAATTAGCGACTTGCACCTCAACAAGATAATAATTCAAACACTATATCCTATTACTTTGTTACACGGGGCCAAAAGGAACTCCAGGAAAGCAGGGCAGAAGTTTAAGAAAGCACCAGAACAAAAATATACAAAGAAACTATTCCTTGCGGAAGGTTGTACATAAACAGTATGTACCATTCAAATGATTCTGTCGATTAATCTCTTTTCGTTTGGACGCAAACGGGGGACAAAGCAGGATTGAAATGGTAACACAATCAGCGGATTAAATGAATAACAAACTTAACCGTGCGACCTATGTAGTAGATGAGGATCAATTTATCAACAGTTTGATACGCACACTCATTTGCGTTACATGTACACGGCCGTCCAAAAAGGCTTTCACTGCAACAAAGCTGTCGATTTTAGGTTACGCAGCTTTAAATTTTCGAAGGAAAAGTCAGTGCCTCACTGTGTGGACATTGCTTTCCATTGCAGCCAACTCGATGCTCCTGGAAACCAGCAGGCTTTTGTGAAACCAAAAATTGCGAAATTTAGTTTTTGGATTGGCTTACAATTTAACTCAAAGTAAAATTAATGAGTTTTCCAATAAAAGCGAACGAGCGCTGTCCTGGCTTATACTTCAAGTTCTCGGGTCTATTTGATTTGGAAACTTGTGCACGACCTGAAATCGCTGAGAAGTCGCCAAAGGCACAAGGAATTTGATTTTTATGTTGGTTTAGATGAAGTTGGTGTTTTGCACATGTTTGAAAAAACAATATACAAATACCGCTCTTATCAGTCAAGTAATGGGAAAAAAATTACAAAGACAAAGAAAGACAAAACAAAACAAAATGAAAATAGCAAATATAATAGCGACTCTAAATACAGCCTGCAAAAACCTGCTTTATGTCCAGTGTATCGTTTCCTTTTTCCTTTCCTTTCCTGTCTCTACTCTTATAGTTCGGTGGAAAGGTTTGCATGGAATTCATTCCACACCTTTCCACATTTTGTAACCTGCTACGTGCCTAATTCTAACTGTAATTCTATGTATCTTTGTAGCTTCTTTAGACTTGTGGCGACAAGACAAAAAAGAAAAAAAAAATTTGAAAGATACGCGATGTTTCGCATCCTTGTGATCACAGTATCAATGATCGAGGTCGACGATCTGAACTGGTGCTTCGAAGCTATTCCACAATAATATTTCAAAAGTGACTTCGAAATGGTTATGCGGTCGGGGCATTGCAACGAAACAAAAATAGTTTACAAGAAAATAACGCACACGGTTTTAGGAGAACAGCTATAAATTAAAGCGATTCTTTGAGGCGAAAACTCAATAACCATAATTGTAAACATAGAATTAAGCAAAGAAGGTCGTATAAAATAAGTTCCTATTTATAACGCGTCCACATTTATTCGCCTGTCAACAAGAAGATATGCATGGAAGGCGGCCAGATGGCGGAAGAGAAGAACCTATCTAAAACGCATGAAATCCATACTCTGTTAGATCTTGCGGTCCAACTGTGATGTTATATCGATAGATCGTTCGAGAAAAAATTAATAAGACTGACACAACAATGGAAAGAGAAATTATGATAATCCGGGGTGATAATCAAAGCGGTTTTTAGCACGGCAACAAGGCTATGATGGGCGGTGTTCACTACTATGTCGGCTGTAAATTTAAAACGTGTTTCCTGAAATATCCGATGTTACTACATTACCAGTATTTCGCAGCCCGCTGGGTCGAGTTTGAAGGAGATCAGACTGTCAACCGACCCAAGATACAACTTTGTTTATGATATAAACTGTCAACTGTCACGAGAAAAAATATAATCTTATTGCTTTGCGGGCAGGTTGAAAAATCCCTCGAACTACAAAGTAAAGTTCCAGAAGTTTCCAACTCGTTTATTTTAGCATAATTGTGACCACGGACATTGAATGGTATAGTAGCACCAAAGCGGCATGGTAATTAGTTTTGGCATACAGCAATTTCTGACCCGCGATATCGTTCACAAGCGAGTGGATGCGAATACAAACTATTCAAAATTCTTAGCTAAAAAGTTCACCCACAGAAAAAAATCGACAAAGTACTCAAAGTCGTCGTTTTCAATATTATTCGCCGCCGGCAGACAAACGTACTTGTAAGGTATTTGAGAAATAGGCATCAGTGACGCATTTGGAAGGAAACGAATTAAAATCCGCTAAAAATAAATTTAAGCAGTGAACTCTTAATGAAAGAAAATATTTGCAGCGTACATTTTTGTCTCCTTGTCTGCTTAGGGAAAAAAAATTGGCTTTTGGTTAAAAGAGGAATCACTTCCGCACCTCATGCTGAGAAAACGTTAAAATTAATTCGCTTTCTCGATCTCACAGATATGCAGAGAAGATTCTGGAACTCTTATAGGACGCCACTATTGCCAATAAAACGCGAAAGCCGAAAAACAAAGGGGAAAAGAAAGCCATTTGGACACAATTTCCTCTGTTATTCCTGTCTTGAGTAATATTCGCGCCAATTTCATTTGATTCCTCGAAGTTTTAAGTGTTTAAAATAGCACCGCAGGCAAACTCACTCAAGAAAAGCGTCACGCGCGAGGAACTCGCTCTCGTTTATAAAGAACAATTTTCAACTGGTTTACTTTGTAACCCAAAACAGCTTGTTTTCAAACACACTAAATCAGCGCTTTTGGAAATGAGCAACGGCAAACTTGTCGTAAAGTTTAAGAACAAAATATGTTCGGAAAAAAACGAAGTACCAATTTTACCGGTGTGTTAGTGTCACAAAAAGTTGCAAATGTACTAAACACGACCGCTAAATATACATAAACTGAACAAATTGAATTCACGTTGTCACCTATGAGAATCTGAAATATATTCTCCACATACCAAACTAATGCTCCGAAACTATACAATCAAACACCGAATATAAGAATAGGAAAAAATAAAAATATGGCTTTTGAAGAGGGCATTTCAAGCGAAATATTCTCGAAATTCTTTAATGAACAATTCAGTTTCTTAGCATTTATCTACGAAAATTAAGTGCTTTTGAATAATTATTGCTGAAATAAGTCTCCTGTTGAAAATCTCAGAAACAAAGATCTGAAATCCAAACATACCTTCCCCCTTTAATGTGATTCATCACTTTATCTGAAATAAATGAGAAAAAAACTTTAAAATTGTGCATGTTACAAACAGGTCACACAAGGCAGTGTTCAGGGTTGAAGACTTAAGATATACGATTTATGTAAAAGCAAATAAAACATTAATATTCATTTTTTTATAAAACTGATCATAGTGATTGTAATTATGCCATCAAAGCCCCGCTTTCTGATTCTTTAGTCAGGTATCAAAGGCATTGTAGTTACTCTTTGAAACACGCTTCGCATCGTTTTCCGTAATTCTAATTCCTTGAAGTCGTCTCGCACGCCGGAATATGTGATCTGCTCGTCTGGTTTGCAGTCGCTATGACTAGGAAGCGGTTTTTTTCCATTGTCTGTTTTTTCGTCTTTTCAACTCTGTGCTTGAATATAGCTAGACCAATCGTCATTATACATACGATTGAACCTCCATCACAAACTAAAGGCAATATGCAGTTATCTACCGAATGCAAGTAGAATTATAGTCGTGTTTGAGAGCAAGCCCGAGAATAGAACTGGGCTCCACGTGGGCGTCAGTTCCAAAATAATTTCTGATTGTTTGCATTTGACTGACACTGTTGTGGAGAGAAGCGCGAAGATGAAACGAAAGTGGTCGGAAAAGAGACAACGAAGGTTTTGGAATATACACAACATAACTTTGTTCTAGAGGTTGTCACAACGTTTGCACAATACAAATCCAATTTCATTTTTTTCCCACGAATTATTCGATAATCATGATTCTTTGATGCACTGGAAGAAATTTGCAGGAAGGATGAAAGGTTTCAAGTGATTGTAAAGAAATAAAAATTGATCGTACAAATCACCGAGAAAAGGTCCGTCAAAAAATTGTTGGCTAACCTGAGAGAGAAGGATGCGCCTCGCTGCTATCACTAGTATCTGTTGGAGCTGTAGCCATGTTATCGAAATGACTCCTCTACCGCAGCGACACTGACTCTTAAAGCTACGAGCGAGGCGCGAGTTTACTCATGCAAATCTGCTGAATCAACCTGATCGGTACTATTAGACCACAAAGGATAAAGAGAGAAACTTCTGGAAGGACATCTGCGCCCCTTTTAAAATGTCTTAATTGGCAGCTCGGAACCCACCTTGCGTCGTGTTTATTTTGTTATGACATACTCGCGTGCAAGCTACAAAAATTGTCTATTCCATGCAGTTTGACTGTTTATCAGTCACTCTGTGTGTCACGTGTATGTGTTAAGAAGTAACCAGAAGCTAGCAAGGAAACCTTCAAAAAACCTCATCAAATAAGAACGGAAACAATGATTCCTTGTTATTTCGCTGCTTAGTCCGGCTTCGACCAGAGATCGGATAATGATTACTGATAATATATTTTTCAAAGCAATGTTTACAGGAAATGGGGGAAAAAATAACATGTATTTATTCCAGATTCTACATACATATAGAAGAAAATCTACATATATCCATGCCTTTAAGATTAGACCACGACATTAACAGCATTGCTCCGTATAACTATACTGAACTATATCGAGTCTTCAAAAAACTTCTTTCATCTTACAAACCATCCCTGTTCATAGATTTTTTGTTTTCTCTTTGATGCTTTTCGTCTTTTTCACAAAGATTACTTCAAGATCGAGACTTCCCTCGACCATGCTGTCGAGTCAACATTGTTCTTCTCTTAAGAATGATCTTGATACCAGTGCAGGTCAATACAAGGTTCGTATGAGCAAACAGTTATATACCGAATAAAAATTCGAAACCGACGATTTAAGATCAATTCAAATTCTCAAAAAACTTTGAGAAGGAAATCTATCGCATCCTACAAGCGCATTTATGATAAAATCTCCTCCCAAAGACCGATTTCCACTGTCATCAATTATGACTTCTGCGAGTCTTTGTCCGCGCTACACCACTTCCTTTCACTTCCTAATACCTTTCATCTCAAAAGCATGACCCAGGGTAAAAACAGCAACAGGGAACCAATTCCTTTAGAGTACAGGTCAAACAAAGACAGGGTCGCCTATCGATCATAAAATATATCCTGTCCTTCTTACAAGATGTTCGGCATGAAAGAAAGAAAAAAAAAACAAACAAAAAAAAAAAAACACTCAATACAGCCAAGTCTACCAATACAAAGGACATACAGAACAGACTGTCTTTTGTCGTCTATGCATGCTTAGTTTGGCATGAGATTTTTCCAGTGATACTCATCTGAGTCGTTAGGGTTTACGCGAGGAAAGGTGTAGCTCTGCAGTCACTCATTCGAAGGTATTTGACAATGACTAAAGTGAAATCGAATATTGCTTTTTCTGATTTTTCACCGCCACAAATTATCACATTTTTTTTATAAGAACACAACAATGCAAGTCTGCGGTTTTTATCGCTGTGTTCAGTGTAAATCTGTAACTGGAGTAATAGGGAAAAAACTAGGTTTGACATTCAACATCTTCATTATTTTGCGATGTTCTTTTAAACTGCATCACGAGTCGCGTTCAGTAGATTTGCTTAAACGAATTACATTATTTTCATAAGAACACAACAAAGCAAGTCTTCGATTTTTATCGCTATGTTATAAATCTATGACTAGAGTATTAAGGAACCCAATCAGGTTCAACATTGAACATCTTCATTGCTTTGCGATTTTTTTCTGTCTGCATCTCTAGTCGCGTTCAGTAAGTTTGATTTAACGAAATCACACTGTGATTATATCTCACGTTACAAAACAAAAGAGAGATTACTGATGAGCTTTCACTGGTCGATAGATGTGTAATGAGATCAGTGTATGAGCTGAAGTTCTAGATTCGAGCGTGTTTTTGAGAACTGTAATCAAAGTAACAGAATACTTCTTCTGTGTTTACATAGCCTCATCCAAACACTTGGGTGGTTGGGCCAATTCTCGAAAATTATGTAAACCTTCGACTGCATCTTGGATTGATGTGCTTTCTCGAATGATCCGTGCCTCTCTCCTGCTACAATGACGCTTGAAAAATAACGCGGAAAAAGCATCCCATTTCTTGACAGCATTAGATTACATCAAATCAATGAGTATTGAGATTTCTAGAAAACGTCTTTTTATCTGGACACAGTCTTACGGATCAAAAAGTTCTCTTTGGATCGGAGCACGAAATGTAACGCTCTAAGGAACTGATTCTCAGAAAGGGACGCAAATTGTTCCTTTGTCTTCTCTAATAACAAAAGTTTAACATCTTTCTTTGCTACTTTGATATACAACAGAACAGCAAGAGATACGGAAAAAAAAAAGACATAAGCAAGTCAAACAAGCAGCTCATTTCAATAAAAATGAAAATAAAATAAAAAAATGAAAACTGAATTAAAAAAAAAAATAAAAAAATTAAAATAAAAATGATCATAAAAATAAAAATAATCATTAGAGAAAGGCCTGCTCTTAATATGCATAGTGAAGGTCACACAGTCACCCAAAGGAAACAAAAATCAAACGAAATTTTTTCCTAACCTAAGCAGATTCCGGATGCCATTGTCTTCTAGCGCGCTTCTAAGCGGAATGAGAGCAAAAAATAGTGGCAAACAATATCTTATCTTTCCCTTAGTGTGACGCTGCAAAAATGCTCTCTTTTGTTTGATTCTGGAAACAGCAATGTACGAAGGCTGGTCAGATGTTGTTTGTTGAAATTATTCCGTGCAACAGATTTCACAAGATACACACATGCCAATATTGGCTTGATATATAAAGAAAAGAGAATTTTCCAGAGAAACAGATTTGTTCTTCACGCGCCACTTTGATGGAAATATTTCTCACCGCTGTTTCCTTTTCAGGTAACAAAAATATTTTCATGTTTACACAGTTTGCACAGTTGTGGACCATTGAGTTTGGCTACCAACAGATTCTCCGCAAAAAAAAAAAAAACAAAAAACAAAAAACAATTTACTCCAAGAAGACGTGAATCAGTCCCTACGTGAGTTCAAGAAATGAAAAAAAAAAAAATATATATATATATATATATATTGCCAAAATCGAGCTTAATAGACTATTGTAGAAACCAATATCTTAATTGTAACCAATAGAAGAGCTATTCTCTCAAATAATTATCTGCTTTTCTTAGCGTGAAATGTTCTGACTCTCCGTGTGGCATCCGTTCAATGAAGACAAAACAAACTCTACAGCTCAATTTCGAATGTAAAGTGCTCGGATCAAAGAGTACACCCTTCACAAGCCAGAATGTTCTTCGATGTCGTCTACATAGATATTACAATCATCGAAAACGTAAACTATTGCAGATCAATATTAACGATGGCATATTACCCTACAGGCGCTTCTGTGACTTTAGCCCTTATAATCCACCTTTTCTCTTCACAGAATCCTCTTAATGGCTTTAATAGCTTTTCTCGCTCTGATCTTTCTAGATCGAAAGAGCACACTTATTAACGGCATGTTGCCAATACGATCTGAGCAAACATAGTCATTATCTTATCGCGCGGCAAGCCACCTCTCATCGATTTTTAGTCTCGTTATTTATCATTATATCAGTGTGTTGTCCTTGAAGGGTGAAGAAATTAGATCGTTATCATCTCGCGAAATGGGATGGAGATAAACATGCTCATCGAGTTTCCGAACAAACAAATATAGAGTACCCTCTAGAACTTCTGGGCGCATACTTCTGTTTCGATATTTTAGAGGAAGTCAATATCAAATATGTCACCCTACAATCAGTTTATTTGTTATTTTGAAAATAAGGCAATCTCCTTAATCCCGAATTCTTACTCTGTAATTATTGATAAGTGTTTCTAGAAGTTACTGTACTTAACCATGAATGAAGCATTCATGAAACAAATGATGGCTTGAGGGCAACCACTGAAAATTAATTTCGCAGATTTGAATCGCCGAAACGCAAATTTCCTTCTAGGTGCAATTTTCTTTCTATCTAGAAGAAGCTACTCGCCAAGAAATGACTTGGTGAAAAATTGCCACGCGAACGTCGTGTCATTATTCGGATAAATTGCTTCTTTGAGTACATTTGTACACCGTAACTTGATTAAACACCAATTAAGACCTACGTGGGAGAAAATTACCGTCTAGCACTTTCTAAGATGTCGTTGCATCAATTCAGTGAGTGATGCGTATCATCTAATATAACAGTAGCGAAGAACGCCTGCGCAGCTAGTTCGATTCTTTTTGGCCCTCGAGGCCTTGCTGCTCGCTTCCGGGCCTCCATTGCGTTTGATTTCAATCGAGCGCTAATTAACCCACCAGCTAGGCGGGATAGAGAATACATTTTTTTTTATAATTTTAAGCAGTACCCAAGTCGTTTGTGACGACAAGCAAAACTGTCTTAAACCCCCGCGTGTGGGTGACCACAAATTTGGTTTAGTCACATAAAAGACATCAAAAGGGAAAGAATAAACCCATCAAAAAGGAACTAGGTTAAAGGTGAAGAGGAACTCGGATTGCCAAGAAAATAAACTTCGAAAATTTATCCTGAATTTTAACAGTAGACAGACCACCACGAGGTAATCATTTTCGCCGTCCATGTAGGGACAGTCGTCATCTACCGCCTGGAGGCGCCGCGAAGGGGAGGGGGGGGGAGAGTCAAAGGATTTTGGTCGTGTCGCAATAAAATTCATCTGATCCCCCATAAGGCTTTGTAGNCGCGTTCTGATTGGCTCATACGCTCGATCCATTTGCCCGTGGGTTGCACGCTGACGTCAGTTTGTTTTGCATTTTTTCCCCCGGCAACTTTTTCGTCGATGTTGCCACTACATACAACATAATTCCTGTTTTATGTGGGATTTTAGCAAGTGAAATATGAAAAAAATCTTGTAATTTTTCCGGAGATGAGTAGGATGATTCTTGTGAGCAGCCAAATTTCGAGCTAAATTTTTTTGACGGGCCTCCAGCTAAGAGTTCGAGATTTGCGGACTTAAGCGAGCAGGAGCTTAACCAGCTCGTTGAACAAAGACACTCAGAAAAGACCAAGAAAACAACAAACTGGTCTGTATCAGCCTTTCGAGGTGAGTAATAAATAGCATCAATTTTAGAAAGTGTGTTTCAGCGATTTAGCAATAATAAAATTCTGTACAAGCGTTCACTGTAAAACTTTTCCGGCGTGGGAAACCATTTAAATGCTTCCGGCGATCAAAACTGTACTTGTGAGTTGTTCAAAATGTACTTTCCTATAAGCCTTAGTTGTCTGTTCTTTTACCGCTATCGCCTCGTGCGACTCTTACGCTTCTTTCGTGCTTAACAACCTCCCGCGTGCATCCATAACTCGATGGTTGCACGCTGCACGCTAACCATTTCTTAAATATATACGACAGAATTTGAACAAAATTTTTTTTATAAAGCATCAAGAAAAAGAGGAAGTTTTGATATATAATCGTGCCACAGCTGAGCTCTTTTAAATAAAATTTTAGCTTTAAATACAAGTTTTCTACATTCTACCGATGCAGTATGAATAATTGACCCCATCAGGAAACTGTGGCCTACATAGCCACACTCCTTGTGGAGGAGGGGGGAGAGAGGGGATTGGAATGAAATAAAAGAAATACTCAATAGTCCTCCCCCTTTATACTGTGTCAGATACCTGATGCCCCACCTGTTCCCCTTGAAAACTGTCACCCACTCTCCCTTCCCCCCCCCCTCCACCACGAAAAAAATCCTCCTCCCCGGCGATGGCGATAAATAATTACTGGTCTCTCACTGAAGTTCTCAGCATTTTAGAAAAAGGTAAGAAAAAAAATCCAAAGAAAAAGTCGACTTCTCGCTTACACTCTTCATCAGTGAAACTTCTGTAGACGTTAGCGAGCGAGAGAACTTCCTTAATCCCGCGCTACCATTCGCTAATGATTCTCCTGACTAGTCAACTATTGTGAACTGTGATAATCCAAAACAGAGAGCGCTTCCATCAACTGTCAATTGATCAAAATCAAGTAATCACATCGGTTGATTAGAAAGAGAAGGACACAAATCACTAGGAACCAATGAGAACTCACGGTAAATATACCTAAACTGAAAAACATGAGCGATCATTTCGTGATTCAGGATTTAGTTTCGCGTCTGCCAAGTCGGTGGCAGGATTTTTCGCGACAATTGACAGAATTAAGGGAGGCAAAACCAACACAATCCTAGAATACATTTGACGCTCGATCAAAAATTTCTTCAGTAGCATGTGCCCTAACTTACCAAGAATTATCGACTCTTCGTAACGTTGTTGGCCACTGCGAACTGCTTCTGAATATCTTTGTAACGTTTGAGTTCTTGTTGGGAGACGGATGGCGCAAGACTGTCCAAAGCTTTCCGGAAATCCGCTTCTGTCACTTGTATGTCTGTATCATCCACACAAGGGTCAGCTGCGTCTAAAATACAAAGCCAATCTATCTATTGACTCTTAATCCTCCGGTGTAGTCGATAAAAAAATGGCTCGCAAGTGTTAATTGAAGCATTGTGCCCATAAGGTACTCTAATGCTTTGACGGGGGCAAATATTCCACGCAAGACAAGCCAAAAGTTTCCCAGTTTAACCCTCTGATCCTTAAGTGTGATTATGACATAACTAGCAAAGCCGCGCGATCAAATTCAATATACGTAAGCGTGCTCAAAATCCCGATAGTGCACGCTGATAGCGTGAGCAAATCGTTTCGCCGGAAATTTTTTTTTTTTTCGCGCGAGCGGCCATTGTTAGCGCGAGTAAAAATAATATATATTCGCGACAATAATGGATACAAACAGAGACTCGGCCCACCAGTCCCAAAACGAAGACAATTTTCCGACCTTTTCCCTTGGGCTAGAGTTCTTAAATGAGGTAGAAAAAGAGAAAAACAACGGAAAAGGAGACTCNGGTCAGGAAACTCTAACGCTTCTTTCGTGCTCTCCAAACTTCCCACGTGCTCCATAACTCGATAGTGCACAGCTAAAAGCATGAACCAATTGTTAACTAGAGTCTAATTTCTCCTTACACTCTGACCCCTGCATCACACATCGAGGTCACAAAAATATAAGAAATGATCACCAACGAAAAAAAAGCTCTTGATTGTTAAACAAATTCTCCTTGTCTGCACCTTAGGAAATGTATAGACAACAGTATGGAGAATATGCACACTGATGTTAGGGTGTAAAGGGTAAGACGTAAAACTGTGTTGGTGGGCCTGCATGACTTTTGGGTTAATCCATTAATGTAATTTGTTACGCTCTCATAGCTTGGCTCATCCTGTTATAGTTATGTTATTGGCTCATCGCTCTCATAGCTTGGCTCATACAGTGTGTCTACAGACACACTGTATGTAGCCCAAGACAGACACAAGATATATATATATTACTAACCCAAAATGAATACAATTTTAAGACTTAAAGTGGTTATGAACAGACCACTCAAGACCCTTGTATGTTAAAGGCACGACAGGTTTTAGAACGGGGCCAACGCTCGAAAAATGGAACGTAGAGAAAGGAGGGAAAAATGAGCCACTTGCATTCGCAGGTCATGTGGAATTAAATAGACGATTATTCTTATTGTTGTGTGACACATCAGAATTAGTCTTAACTGCGCAGGCTTTGTAGTGAAAATGGATTTTACCTAGCTCGAGCTCTTCAATCTTTCGCCTGACCGATTGCAATATGGCATCTGAACACAGAGCGTAGAAGTCGGCTCCTGTTAAGTTGGAGGGACAAAGTTCCGCTATGTTTTCCAATTGCAGATCAGGGTGTATATTAAACCTGCAAGAAACGAAAATACGCAGCCTTAAAATGGACAGCTTCGAGCGGTTACAACATCGCTTACTAGAGCTGGACGCTAAAAAGATTGATCCTGGAAAATGAAGAGTAGCATTGGCGGCCACAATTGGCTTTTTGTTTCGCGGTAAATTTTTCGAAAATCTTTCACTTGATTACTTGATTACTCTCTTGATCACTTCCAAAAACATTTTCCTTGACCAACTCGATTTAAAACTATGCTTTCTTTTTCCTCTAAAAGCGCCCAGCAATAGCGTGGAGAGTGATGGAGAGCGTGAACGACGAGTCACACGCGAAAAAGGTCTGCGTGCTGAGAGCCACTGACAACTTTTTTTTTTGTTTTGATATCGTGAACTGTGAAACAAGACAGAAACCACCCTTTCATTACGTCCACAACAACAACATCATCCACACAAACTTTCCTGTTTATCTATCGTTAAATATTTAGCTCGTGGACTTACTTTCTCGTTAGAGCCTTGAGTATGTTGAGCTGTGATCCGCGGTCCTCGCTCACTCCGAGGTATAGTAGTTTATCAAATCGACCAGGTCTCAAAAGCGCTGGGTCTAAGAGGTCAGGTCGGTTTGTGGCCCCAATGACGAATACGTCACATGCTTTGTGAAGCCCGTCAAGCTCTGCGAGCAGCTGCGATACCACTCTGAACAGAATTACAAAACATTGAAAATATTTAAAACTTAATTCGTTAGAGAACATGAAACGCTGAGAAATTTCTGACCAACGTTCAGTTGATATCCGAAACTACTCTTTTACATTATATTAGCTTTGTTTTACTCCTGTCTGTGATTGGTCGAGAAATCCTTCACCACCGTCTCGACCAATCAAAAGCAACTCTAAAACCAATTACGATTTGATCACTCGCGTTTTTCCCGGGCTTCAGGCAGTTTGCTTGCTTCCGCTGTAAGCTCTCATTGGCCCCTCATTTTTAATAGTCTACGCCCTATGTGGATCATGTTCTTTCTTGCTTCGATCAATATCTAACGATTATTCTCCGAAGTGGAGGTAACTGTCCACCTCTTTAATTGACCCTGAGGTTTATCACTTTTTAAGTATATACTACACAGAAACCCCCCAAAATAGCTTATTGTTATCGATATACCAAAAATGGTTGAAAATTAAACTTTTGAAGCGCGACTTTGTCCATTCGATAGCTCAGAGGAGAAAATCTAGGCGCAAAGTAGTTGCAAATCACTTTCAAAATAGCACACAAGAAAAGCACTTCCCCGATTGGCTGATGAGGTTTCTTTAGTTTTGGCTTTTGTTATTTGGCAAGTTCTCTATATGCCGATCGCAGCCATGGCGATAGAGGCAATGAGCAAATAAAAATTGGCAGGTGTACCCGCAACAAAGACAGCGATCTACGCCCATCCAAACTCTTTGTCGACGATTTTGCCATCGAATGTACCCGTTCACTATAATCACAGTGATCGCCAGTTACTTCCGCCAATCTAACAGCGCGACTCACTAATTAATAATTGCGTGCTCTTCTCAAACACCGACGGAATTTGCTTGCAATTACCGCTAACGAACGATAACATCCGCTTTTTCATAACTCGCTTCAGGAAGAAGCGCCTTTTCCCTAACTCACCGATCCATGACTCCTCCCGAGTCCCCACTCCTTCCTCGGTTGGGTGCTAATGAGTCCAGCTCATCGAAGAAGATAACACAAGGCCGTGCACTTTGCGCGCGACTAAACACTTCACGGACATTCTGTTCACTTTGACCCACATACATGTTGATAAGCTCTGGTCCCTTCACACTGGCAAAAAAACAACAACAACAACAAAAAAAAAACAAAAACAAAAAAAACTATTAGTCAGAGAAAAAATAAATGAGGCTAAGAGAAGACAATTCAAAGACATTTTCCGACGGCAAAAATTGGCCGTTGCCCAAATTTTAAAGGTGTCGCCCAATTGCAAGTTCATCCTCTACCACCTTTGCGAGTTCGCCCCCTGAAGTAAACCAAATTCGCGCATACCTTTATCAGTTCGTCCCCACTTCGGAGGCGAACTAGTACAGAAGGTAGGAGGCGACCTTGCAATGGGTCGAAACCTCCAGTTACCCAGTTACCCACCAAGTACCTTAGAAAGTTTAGAGAACATTCCGTAGCAACAGCTTTGGCGAGTAATGTTTTGCCAGTACCAGGCGGACCGTACAACAGCACTCCTGTGTAAAAAGTTACCATCATGTTAGTTAAAATTTATAATAAAGGCAACGGTAATGCAGTGATCCATCTACCTGCGCGTCCCGCGTCTCAGACTTAATATTTTCCCTAAAAGACGCAAAACTTTAGTACCAGATGCGTCCCATTGGTCTCCCTCGCAGCCGTTTTTAGTCTCGTCACGCAACGCTCCTCCCGACAAACGGCTGCTCACATTCGAACAACATTCCTTTCCCTTTGTTGTCTTTGCACCAATGAGATCACTGACATCGTTTCTTATGCGACCAATCAAAGCACAAGAGATTGCAATCAATATCGTTTTTCCCGCGTTTTCAAATTCTGCATTTGATCGTTGTTTCTTGATGGAGGAAACGCCGAAGATGGTTTTGCAAAGTGATCGTTGCTTTATTTGTTCCACTTCAGTTAAGAAAAAAGAAAAAAATTAAGTTTTTGGAAAAGGTTCTTTTGATTTTCTGGCGATTATTAGTTCCTGTCTGGATGTGAATGTGGGCTACTATTCAGCGACCAGCGACTTGTCAGTTTGTAAAGCTTGCTACTGACGATTGATCAAGTTCAAAAAGGCCTCTGATCATCTTGAAGAGCTCAAAGATGAATTGAAGGGAATCTTCAAAGATCGCGAACTTCACAGAACTAAGCGCTTATTGAACGTTGAGGGCGACGGTGGAGAAATCCAAGCTTTGTGCCGTGGGAAATCCTCGAAATGTTTACAGTTCGATCCAAACAATACCACTTGTACTTCTAATGCTACAGCCAATTCTAGTATTTCTACCGCGATCAGCCAACAGGTACGTTATACTCCAGCAAGATTTCCTATTGGTTCTATTGSTGTGTCTCCTATTCGAAGTCATCCATACGCACTTGGCTAGAAGCTTTCCCTAGTCAACTGACAGTAAGACACTTGTGTGAAAGCTTTGAACTCCAAGATGAAACAAACAATATGATTGGTTAGATTACTTTGGCGCACAGAGTTCTCGACATATGTAACCCAAATGGTGATTGGTTGAAGTAGAGGAAAGGAATGTTGTTCGAATGTGAGCAGCCGTTTGTGGGAGGAGCGTTGCGTGACGACTAAAAACGGCTGCGAGGGAGACTAGCGTCCCATTGGACGCAAAAAAATTACCTTCTCTCTATGACTTGATGACTTTTCTTCTCTATTTACGAAAAATTTTTAAATAAGTATCAATTTTACCAGCGCGTGATCGTAAGGCGAACGCCATTACATTCTGGTCATTACAGGCTCAGTTTTTATCAGCAGCGGTATTTTACAGAAGTGTATTTTTTCGATTCCATACACGTGCTTTCTGTCTCTTCCTGCTTGCTTTCTTAAGGCGGGCATAGCTATTCTTGAAAATTAAATGCCACCGAAGAAAAAAGTTAGGTCCCTGGGGGAGCAAACACAGCTCTCGTTTGCAAAACAGTCCGAAGCGAGTAAACACCAAGAAGAAGAAGAAGCAGAATATGCAACAGAGAAGGATGATGCGAAGGCGAATAAAGACAATGAAGAATCAGCATAAGCGAAATCTGCGAAATATAAGGAACGAAGATTTTTTGAGCCGTAACTCAAAACATATCTTTGGTTGGTCCACGAGTAAAATGGAAATTACACGTATTGTAAAGTCTGCTCGGAGGCTAGCAAATCAAACGGAATGAGTAAAGAAGCCCAGTGCCGAAATTTTCAAAACACCACGCTAATTCCACATGCTGGTCTCCTTGAACACAAGATGGCCCTCCAAGGCCCCGAGATAAGAAAGTCATTCGAGGAAGCTTGAAGAAAAAGCGAACCAAAGCAGAATAAAGCCGTCCTAGTACTTTTTAAATGTACACAATGGCTCTGTATAGAGAGCATCCCACTGGTAAAATTCAAGTCGCTACTTGAACTTCTTCAGGATTTGGGGCTTGAGGAAATAGCGATTTTGAAACAAAACAACATCAGTTACGATTCTTACATAGCTTCAGATGATATTTTACAGTGCCTTTCAGATGTGATTGATGACGAACTGGAAGAAAAGTTGGAAAAATCTCCATTGGTAACTGCCCTGGCCAATGAAAGTACAGACATCGCAAATCAGAAGCGACTAGCACTGCACACACAGATTTTTTGAGATTGCCCCCTGCTCGAAGTCGTTCGTGATTTGTATGTCAAAGACTGAAAGTAACTAATACAATACAACCCTCATTTAATTGTATGTGTTATTCATAGGCACAATTCATAAAAATGATGAGTGTGGGACTCACACTCCCATGTGTGGGACTCCCTGGATTTTGGCTGTGAGTCCCTGGACTCACTACTGCCTTTTTCTAGACGGATCTCTGTAATGGGGAACAAATACGATTGCTCAAGGTATATTGAAGTGTGAACTTGAGCCGAGAAACTTACTGATACAACGTTTTTTAGTCCTTTGAGAGTCAAGTTTATTTCGCTCTTCCTGACCTGGTGTTTCAAAGAGAATGACGCTTCGACTTTTCATGTGTTAAGGTTTGAGTGACGTTAAAAGCACGTTTAAATAAACAAATTTAAAGCACAGATTTATCATAAAAGCCGTGTTACTGTTTTGCTGAAAGTTTGCTGGAAGTTTGCCCGGCAGAGGCACGACTGCAGCAACACTCAATGGGCCGGTTATTTGAACGAAGTCTAACCGTAGTTTGACCAAACTGCGTTCTAAGCCATCTCTAATTTAGCCCAACCTTTAACCTGAACATTTAGTTTTGTTAACAGTGTCAAGAGAGCCGAAAGCTAGGAGTGGAAGGACATTTATTTAATTAAATAGGCCCACCGCTCCAGAACATTTTAAATCTTGGATTTAGTCCAAATACTGCAATGACGATACCTTTGGACCACTCTACAACATATTACTGTACCTGATCTCCTCAGCCCGGCTGCAAACAGCTCTGGATGCTGCAGCGGTAACTGGACAGTGTCCAAGATTTCTGCTTTCACCTCGGCCAACCCTCCGACATCTTCCCATTTGACACTAGGAATTTTAGGAGCTCCAATCGCATCTGACAAGGACGACTGAAGCATCTCTAAGGAATTTTCAAAATCTTGCTGGCAAATTTTGGTCCCCATTTTACTCAGCTCTTGCTCAAATTCCCACGGAAAGCAAGTTTGGCTTGTGGTTTCAGTTGAACGACTCATTTTCCCAAGGCGTTCCTCTCGGAGGCGCTTTGCGGCAGTATTTGCAGCATTTGAAAACAAAGTAACCATATCTGCCAGTACCAGTCCAGCAGTTCTCTTTGCCAGTTGTTCAAATGACATGTCATTTCCTACAGACAGCATCTGAGCGAGTCCCCTGAGCATATCACACCTTTCCTTCTCACTGGGTGCTTCAAATCTCAGCTCGTGAAGGAAGCATGAGTACATGTCAGCGGTGATGTCATTCGGAGAGGATGAGGTTGCTATGACGACTACTGGCCAAACTGAGTCGTCCTTTAGACTGCTGAGACAGTTGAACATCATGGTAGCTATTCGTGGTTCCTCATCATTTCCTTCTTTGTCTTTTCCCAAAGCATGGATGTTGCACAATAATAGGACACAAGGTGAGCAGAAAACAGCTAAACAAAGGAAAAAAAGTATGGTAAAATCAGTCAAGCTGATTTACTGTATTGGCGTAATGAGCACTCCACTGGATGAATAACAAACACAGCTCTTTACAATGTTATGTTGTGTTCTTTGGCGTGACATCCTACATAACAACAGTGCTTTCCTCCTCCATTCTGAGGGCATACAGTTGAACCTGCATAAAGGGCTCACCGATAGGGAATGGCAGGGTGACCACTTAACAAAGGTTCCACAGATTGGGGGTATTATAAAAAACGCTACACAGCGCCACTTTATGCCATAATTGACCACTTAATATACACAATCTCGCTTGAAAAAATACTTACTTTGAATTTGGGAAAAGAAAATGAAAATGAAAAAAAAAATTGAAAAAAAAAA